CTATTCAGGACACTGAGGCAGAAGGATCTTTTGAGCCCAGGAGTTTGAGGTTGCAGTGAGCTATGACAACACCACTGCACTCTAGCTCAGGTGACAAAGAGAGACCTGTCTCAAAACAAAAACAAAAACAAAAAACCCTCAAAACCAGAAAAAAAAACCCAAATGTTCATTCCAGCTGCTCTAAGGGAGCCTAATGCCAGATTCGAAGCATTATGATGGTCAAGATAAAAAAGGAAACATGATACACATTATCTCTCAATCAGAGATATGTGATCACTTCCTTTTCTCTGATCAGTAGAGTTTCCAGGGAAAACTGCTTTCTTTGGTACCAAACTTAGGAAGAAATTTCCATTATGCCACATTGTAGAAAGATAGAGGGCATAATACTTTGACAACAGTTTGGAATCACATCAAAATTTTTTCAAAGAGAAATTCACATGACCAGTTCTTATAAGGACTTTTGATAACAGTGGGAAATCCTAACACTGAAGTTTAGCCCAGAGATGCTGACTCAGTGTGGACATTTGCTCTGTTCTTGAATTGGATTAAGCTTAGATTGGCAAGCATTTCTGGATGCAGATCCTATTTTCTTATGTATTAGTCATTCTTTTGCATCTTCAAAAATGGGAACACTGTGTCATCAATGTTGTTATCGAATTTATTATGATTTTTAACAGGATGCAGTTTTGGCTGAATCCTGTGACATGTCTCTAGAGACCTATCTCAATGCCTGCAATGATGATTAACAAGGAGGAATTGGGGAAATAATCCTTCAGACATGAATCCATTTAACTCCGTCTCATCTGATCTATTTATTTATTCCTACTGTGTCTCTTTTCACGATTGAGTCATGATGCATACAGGAGATGCAGAAAATATAAATTACAAATCAGAACAAAGCAAAGAAATTCAATACGGAATCAAGACCAGGGGGGACGTAGGGTGCGGTTGGGCAGAATGGGGGCATATGAAGGGGATGAAGTGCTACTGTTGCTACAGACTGGCTGCCTGTTGGCTTTGGGCTTCCTGGAGGGGAGGGGTCAAAGTTCACTTTTTTGTCCCTGATCCACAAATGTCTTGATGAAACACTATCCTTTTCCTCTAGTGTCCCCCTAACCTACAGTCCAATACCACCATGAAACACTGAAGATGATATGATTTGCTCTTTTTGATCTAACAACAGCCTCCGGTGACTTTCACTTCCATTTCTCAGCGCTCTCGGGGAACCTCGGCTCTGTCTCCTGCTCCATTCTGGTTTCCGCCGCATGCTGAGAATTTGTCTCCTTTATAACTTGGACTTGCACGTGGCTTTGCGTTATCACGACCCTGATTCCATCCACCTTGGAGTCTTTTCAAACTTGCACACCTCTACTAACTGGCTCAAGTGGCCATTCTCGAGAGTGACAATCTGGTTGGTCCAGTTCATCAATTTCCACCTGGCCATGGGGCAGGTTGACCAGCCAGCCTGTGAGTCAGGTCACACTGTCCAAATTATGAGCTAAGGGTGCAATGGGGATGCAAAGGGAGCTGTGGGTGAAACCAGTTTCCTTGCAATGGGGTTTAACACATTAACTGCCATGAGAGTCATATTTATTTTAACTCACTCTAGTTTTGACTCAGGGGATGCATGAAGGATATATAAAATCTCCCTTGTTACAATTACACACTGACAAATCTAAAAATGTGGATTAAATGAATAGAAGTCAATACATGTCATTTTTCTATTTATGTTTACCTTTAGATTACACTCAAGATTTTTATACTATTTTCATAATAAAACACTGTGGCCCCCAAGGAAAATTTTCTGATATTTTTGTGTAGCAGTCAATGTGTTAAACATGGTGAGATACCATCCATTCACCTGGGAGAGGGACTGAGCACAAGGGTGGGGAAACTAGCTGCCCTCTTGCCTCTGTTGCACTGGTTTATAAAATAAAGATAGAACAAAGACCTAGGTCTTTCTTTTTTAGAGATAGAATCTCACTCTGTCACCCAGGCTGGAGTGCAGTGGCACGATCATAGCTCACTGCAGTCTTGAACTCCTGGGCTCAAGCCATCCTCCTGCCTCAGCCCCCTGGGTAGCTAGGACTACAGGCTGCACCACCACACCCAGCCCTTTGCCTTTCTGGAAAACTTTTCTTCTGAGTTGCTCAAGACATTCTGTTCAGAAGTATGTTAGAGGCGTTGGGGAGTATTGCAGTAAATAATCTCTTTGAAATGTGGTCAACACATAGACTTCTGAATATGTTTGACTGTAACCATCCCCTCCACCTGATTGCTGTGTAGATCTTTGTTATTCAGACCGAGGTCAGCCCAGGGCTTCCCCTGGCAAGCCCCACCCGAGACCTACTGAATCTGAATCTGCATTTTAAGAAGATCTAAGGAGACTAATATTTGCATTAAAGTTTGAGAAGTGTTGATTATAGAGCTAACTTTGGGAAACATCGAACAACTCTAATCAGTGATTGAGGCTTCGAGAAGTGATGAGTTTTGTCTGAAGTCCCCTTATCAGTCAGTAGAAGATTTGGGATCAGAATCTAAATCTCATGAGTCCAGTCATACACACTTGCCACCACCCCATACTGTCTCCCCATCTAGGAAACAACTAGGCTTGGTTAGATCATTCTTAGAGAAGAAAATTAACATGCGATTAGGGTGACCATATGATTTATCATCCCAACATAGTCACTTTGAGAATGCAAGAGAGCACCATTAACTACTTCAGGACAATAGGTGCAACCTGACACAGGTGGTCGCTCTATATACCTGGAGTTTTTTCTAGTTTAGAGGCCTCTCACACTTATTAACTAATTTAAACAGCATAAATATCCCCTGGGTAATCTTAAAGTTCTAACTTTTAAATAAAACCTGGTTCTCAAGCAAAAAAAATATATATATATACACAACAACCCATTATAATAGATAAATCACTATCTAACCTAAACAAAACAAAGAGCCAGCCCAAATCAGCAAAATAATAGAATGGGGGAAGTAATCAAAGATACACATTTAAAATGATTTTGAAATTACTTTGCTTAACCCATTCAATAACCTAAATAAATTTGAAAACCTGGATGAGATGAGTGGTTTCCCTGCTGTCATACCACGGCAGTGGCCAAGCTGGGGCTGGAAGCTACATCTCATGGATTTCTGCCAAGTCATTTCCCTATGAGTCAACCAGACTTCAGAGTCTGGTTTCTGAAACTGTTATTCCAGCACCTTAATTCGGAGCTGAGATGTCTGGATAGTTTAGTGGGAACTTGGCTCTTCTACAGGATGGGAATCAGATGATCTGAAGAGGTATCTGCTGAATGCACCTCTTAGGACAAACCTCCACATGCCCCCTTGGGACATCAGCTTTACCTGCCATGCTCAGACCACCTAGTTCTAAAAATAAAAAGTGGGCATGTCCCTGATCCTGAAAATCCTAGTGTTAGACCTGGGAGATCTCATCTTATCAAAATTTTAGCTGGCATTCCAAATTTATACTATCTTTAATGATTTTAATATTACACTATCTTTACACCATCTTTAATAATTTCAGTATTATTAATAGTAGTAACAACAACTTATATTTATTCATTCTTTATTCCTTTATCCCCCCTTAACAACTCTATGAGGTAGGGTTGCACCACCCCCGTTTTATAGAAACTAAAGCACAGAGAGGGGTTAAATAACTTGCCCAAAGTCACACACAGATGGTAAGTAGCAGAGTTGAGATTTGGCCTCAAGTAATCTGATACTAGAGCCTATCTGTTACCTCCAGTTATTACTCCAACAGTTCTCACAGTATTCTGAAAATAATATATATATATATATCAGACTCTATATGTGTATATATATATCAGACTATGTATACATTATATATATCAGACCATGTGTATATACATCAGACTATGTGTATAATGGAACCACTAGGCATAGTAATTTTTAAAAAAGAACCCCAAGAGACTTAGAGAAACTATTGCTTATTGGACATTCACTATGTCTAGATCACAGTTCTAAGTGCTTGCATATGCATCAGCTCAGTTATCTTAAAACCAAAAACAGGGGAGGGGGGATGAGGGCTAAAAACTTACCAATTGGGTACAATGTACGCTATTCTGGTGATGTGCACACTAAAAACCATGACTTTGGCATTACACAATTCATCCATGTAATAAGAACTCTTGTACACCCTAATATTTTGAAATAAAAATTATTTTTTAAAAAAGTTTTTTCTGAACATTTAGTCTTCTGTATTCCCAGAAAATATACCCCTGGTGTATTTGTTTTTGATTACGAAAATGCAAGTTTGTAAAGATGTCAGTTTACTTTGTATTTATGCATGGAAAAAAAAACCCACCAAAAACCAAAAACAAAACCAGGACCAAACAAAACCTCCTCCACCAGCAGGGTGCAATTATTCTCACTGATAGGATGAGAGAAATGAAACTCAGAGAGATTCCGTAGCTTGCTTAGAGCCTACAGCTAAGTGGCAAACCTAGGTTCAGAGCCAGCCCATCTGGCAGGCGAGCAGCATTCTTCACCATCAACCACACTCACTGCCAGTCTTAATTCAGTCGTCGCAGCACCTGGCAGGTGTCATTTCCCACCCACTCTCTTGCTTTTCCCAGGTTAGATGGGGAAACTGACGCTTAGGAAGTTTAAGGAACTTGCTAACGGCCCATCAGTGACGTGGGGGCGGGCTAGCCAGGGACCCAATGCCTGTTCATACTGTTTCCTTTTCCCCAGGCTTTAGTGGTGCGGTCCAGGGTTCTGCCTCTGCGACAGGTCGGCCCCCTCGCGCCCCCACCTGCGCTCTCACCTGAGGCTCCGCGGGGTGCGGGCCGAGCCGGACACCGCCCCCTGGTGGCGGGTGGGCGCACGCGCAGCGCATGCTAATGAGCCCGCGGCGCCGCGCGCCCATTGGCTGGCGCGGCTTCCAGCTGCCGCCCGAGTCCGCGGGCGCCCGGGGAGCGTCGAGGGGCCGCAGGCGGCAGCCCGCGCCCTGCCCCGCCCGCCCCGCCGCCTCCCCGCAGACGCCCGGCCCGCCCAGGCGCGCGGGCCTTCGCACCTGCGGGCGCCTGCTCTCCCCTCGCAGCAGTGCTCCGGTTGTGAATCCATCCGGGGTCCAGGATGACAATCCGACACCAAGGCCAGCAGTACAGGCCGAGGATGGCATTTCTGCAGAAGGTAACCCTGGTCCCCACCTGGGCCCTGGCGGGGGGCGGGGGCCAGGTCTGCGAAGTGCGGGGGAAATGCTGGGCAGGGGTGGAGGGCGTCGCTGTGGTCGGTTTGTGCTGCTTGATCTTATTAAATGACTGGTTGTGATAAACACAGCATCATCTCAGGTTTCCAAGCCGCCTCTTGGTCCTGAAGGCTCGGCGCTGCGTGGGCACAGTGTGACGGGGCGGGGAGCCTGTCCCCAGGAGCAGAAGGGCATGGCCTGCAGTTCAGCTGGGCCCGCCCCAGCTCTGAGTCACATAAGGTAAGGAGACGCCCACGTACTAATGTCATAGCTCCTACACGTTGCCATTTCTGGACCTGAACTGCGGTATTTGAAAGTTAAAATGTCTTGCACGCAGACCACAACACACACGCAGCTCCGGGGGCCGTGCTCACCGTCTCCATTGCTCGGGGCCCCTTGGTTGGGTGTGAGTCTAAATGTCAGGGTTTCCTTGTGCCATAACCTCACTCTGCACCATTTCCCCTCAGCATACGCTGAGCACTGTTCTATTAATAGTATCGGGGACACAGCGGTGGCCAGAACCGGCAGGCCCCACCCTCCAAGACCCCACTGGCAACTTTATGGTGCCCAGCCATGGGGGATGTGGGCTGACTGAGGTTTGGGCCCACCACAAGCGACCTCAGTGGGCACCTAGTCAAATACACCTACTTTCTAGATGAGCCAAGCTCACTCAGCCTGCCAGTGGCAGAGCGGGAGGTAGACAGTATCGGATGCTGTTGGCATCCTACCCAAGAGCAGGGACTTCTACTGCAAGTGCCAGACCCTGTGTGTCCAGGGGCTTTTTTCTGGCCATAGGAACATGATTGGCACATGTGTGGCCACAGTGCCAGAAAGTAGATGCCCCTAGGGTCAGCCTGCAGCTGACAATGAAAGGGAGATGCTTGATACATAGCAAGCTTCCTTCCCTCTTGGTGGGGCCCTTCTGGGGTGTTCTGTACTGTTTCTCCCAGAGGCTTTCAGTAGGATAGAACTCCAGCCACCCGCTGGGGTCACCTGCTTGTGAATGTATCCTGTCTTGCCCTCCCTACTTTCCCTGATCCCACTTCCCCAAACACCTACTACCACTTCCCGGGATCAATCTCCCCGACAAGCTAAAAGATAGCTTTGATTATTTTTATTTATTTTTTGAGACAGAGTCTCACTGCCTGCCCAGGGTAGAGTGCCGTGCATCAGTCTAGCTCACAGCAACCTCAAACTCCTGGGCTCAGGGGATCCTTCTGCCTCAGCCTCCCGAGTAGCTGAGATTACAGGCATGCGACACCATGCCCGGCTAATTTTTTCTATATACTTTTAGTTGGCCAATTAATTTCTTTCTATTTTCAGTAGAGACAGGGGTCTTGCTCTTGCTCAGGCTGGTTTTGAACTCCTGACCTTGAGCGATCCGCCCGCCTCGGCCTCCCAGAGTGCTAGGATTATAGGCGTGAGCCACCACCCCCGGCGATAGGTTTGATTATTATCCCCATTTTACAGGTAAGGAAACTGAGGCAGGGAAGGGCCAACACTAGAAGAATGGCTGGCATGGAACAGTAAAGCAGGTGTCACGACAGTGGTGGCAACACACAGTTAAGACTGCAGTGAGCAGGAGCTTCCGAGTCTGTGTGCGGAGCAGGGGAGGCGTCATGGAGGAGACAGGCATGGGGCTCGAAGGATGCCGCCTGCAGCATCTGCCGGCCGAAGGCAGACCCAGGCAGCAGGAGCAGCGTGTGCACAGGGGTGTGTGAGCGTCTGGCGTGATTGAGGGCAAGTTGCTCGCCGTCGCTGAGCTTGTTGTACAAGGGGAGCGTGAGGTCGGACAGGCAGGCAGAGGTGGATCACATGGTCCCCTACCCCTTCCTTACAAAGAGCAGGTGAGCGATGTGGTCAGATCTGGGTTCAAAATACGACTCTGCTGTGAGGAATGGGTGGGATGTCTTCCTTTCCCTGAGCTAAGAGAGCTCACTCAGGGTCCTCCTGTGCCCCCTGCAACTCTGGTCTCCTGGGAAATGACAGCTTCCCATGGGGCCAGGGCAAGCGGTGACAGTGAGGAGGAGTCCTTCTCTTGGGATTCCTGAGGCTTTCACACCTGTGCCTCCGTGGGGTTGATGCAGCCCTGGGCGGGGGTGCTGCCAGGTAAGCCACCGCCCGCCTCTGATGCCTGGCCTTGTTTAAGATGCCCCCTCCTTGTGGAAGGAGGCAAAGAGGTGCGCTGTCCAGGGGCAGTGCCTGGGCAAGGCAGCGGATGCCACACGGTGAACCGAACAGCAGGGCTAGGCAGCCTGCTGCGGCCTCTGGCACCCGCAGGCTCCTGTCCAGCTTAGCACCTTCTATGTTCTAGCAGCCCCGACCATTTAGGGGTGAGGTGGAAAAAAATCCCTCTGGCCCTTTAAAATGCTTTCCCATTTGACTTAAGGAAATAGTTGGGCTTGGGTCAGGACCATAAGGATTAAGGACCTTCATGAGGCTTGGGTGGAATTTAGAGTTGCTTGTATCATTTTTACATTCGCCATTTAGCAGACATTTACTGAGCACCTACTATGCGTCAGATATTGTTAGATGCCGGGATAACAGACTTTGAGGCGCAGTCCCTGTCCTCGAGTGAGTTACAGTCTAGGAGTGGGAGAGCATGTCATTTATAGGCGGAGGCAGTTGGTGATGGCCAGCAGGCAGTCCTGCTTCTGGAGGGGGATTCTGGAAGACTCGAGAGACTCATCACACTGGTCATTAACAATGGGACAGAAACGGGGGACGTTTTCGAGGCTGGGCACAGCTGGGGGGCGTTGGACTTGGGCCTTTGAACTGTGGCTGGCAGCACTGCAGTCGGGATGCGAGTCGCCCGCTCAGAGAGTGCAGTGGTTCGGGTCACTGTTTACGACCATGCACAGCAAAGTACAGGATTATGATAGCTCCCCGGGGAGCCCTCTCTGGGTTATAGGAAAATTCCAGTCCTTGAGATCTTATGGAGAGTGACAGCCACTCACTAAGAGAGGAAACTGTGAGCATGGGGTGATGGGATGTTGAAGCCATCACTTTCTGATGCTTTTAGTGACTGTCTGGGTTCTTTGAAATGCTCACTGTCATACCTTAGTCAGCTGGAATCTGAGCTGGGAAACACCAGGCCTGAGGCAGGGTCACCTAGGGGCAAGGTTGACCCTGTGCTTGCGGCATTCGTTGGAGGCCCCGGGAAATAGTGGAGAAGTCAGGATTCTGGGAGAATCGGGAAGCTGTGGTCTGGTCAGCAGGGGCGGGGCAGGGCGGGGTGGGGAGGTGACATTGTGGGAAAGGGCTGGGGGTCTTCACTGTGTCTGATGAAAGAAGGTCCCTCAAGAGAGATGCACACAGGACACAGAGATAAGGGGGCCTGGAGAGGGGCCACAGCAGCACCTGGGGAGCCTGAGAATCAAGGTGGATGTTCTCCTGTCATAGGTGGGCAGGGTTTCTGCTTGCGACAAGGAGATGGCCAAGATCACCTCTCTGAGACCATTCCAGACCCAAGGAGTCAGTTATATATTTTTTTGTACTTTCTCTTCTTTCCTTTTTTCTTTTAATTTTTTTTTTTTTTTTAATTTTTAAGAGACAATGCTTGCTCTGTTGCCCAGGCTGGAGAGCAGTGGTGTGATCACAGCTCACTGCAGCCTCAAACTCCAGTGCTCAAAGCGATCCTCCTGCCTTAGCCTCCTGAGTAGCTGAGACTAATGTACTTTAGACTTACAATTTTTAAAGGGAAACTTTCAGTGCATTTACATAGGAAAAGGTCAGAGGAAAACTATTTTGTGCCCTAACGGGAAGACCTCTAAAAACATCCATGGCACAGGTCCCCCTCTTCCCAGCAAACCCTTCCTTTGTGCAGAGTGAGACTTCCCAGCTGGAAAGCAATTGGCCCCCATTTATTATGCCTTTAATAATAGCTCTTGTTAATCCCTTTGAAGGTTAGTTTCAAATTCTTCATAGATTGATTTTTTTAAAAAACACAAAGGGAAAGGAATGAAGCAGCTGACATTTTTATTAGAGAAGTTTAAATTTCTAACTGGCAAAGCAGGCACAATCCTCAGCTCCCTCTGCCTCCCTGCTAAGAATTTGGTGGTTTTACCCCACAAAGTACAATAGGTACAAACAACCTGAAAAGTCACGCCTGCACGGATGAGGGAGCATTAAGCCCTGACATCAGAAACTAGCTGGGAAGGAGGGGACAGCTGGCTGCTGCTGGAAGGAGTGACTCCCACAGCCCATGGCTGCTAGGTCCCCTGGCCATCCCTAGAAGCAGTGGGGCCACCTCCCAGTGCCACCCAACTCCCTCCTGTGGTTGTCTGTTTGCTCCCCTCTCTGCTGCTGACCCCATGGCTGACCCAGTGACCTTAGAGGTTGCCAGGCCCTGACACTGCAGAAGGCCAAGGACTGTGGCTCCAAATAGAGCTGAAATGAATAGTTTCTTTTCCAAAACAATTCTGTGAGCCAAGAAAGTGTCTATGCAGATACGGCGTGCAGTCAGTCCTGCACAGGGAGCCCCAGGCCTGTCTTGCACGCTGTCTGAGCGGCTGGCATTGTGCCCAGAGCGCTGAGTGCTGAGGCTGTCCTCACAGCCTTCACTGTGCACCTGATCTTGGCCCGGTTCTTGAGATTGTGGTTCGGCTGCAAATGCTGGTTTGGCAACAAAGACTGAAATAGGAAATCTCACCCCTTAGTGTTGGCTTAAGCATTGTCTCTCCTCCTTGGGAAGGTGGGAGGCTTCCAGAAGCAGGCTGGCTGAGGGCGAGGTAGTAGGTAGAGTTTTTCTGATTCAGTTCCCTCTGTGTGATTATGCCCTTCAATGCAGCTAGGTCAGTTGACACCTCTATCCTCTATACCTGGCTACATCATGCCATGGGTTCCCTTTAAAGTCCACTTCCTCCAGGAAGCATTCCTTGACCATCTGTCTTAGTTCATTTCCTGCTATAACAGAATCCCTGAGACTAGGTAATTTACAAAGAAAAGTTGTTTATTTGGCTCACAGTTCTGGAGGCTGGTAAGTCCAAGAGCACAGCGGCAGCTTCTGGCCCTTGCTTCTCTACCGTGTCATAACATGGCAGAAAATCAGAAGGGCAAGTGAGCACGTGTAAAAGAGACCTCAGGGCACCAGCTCACTCCCTCAAGAACTAACTCATTCCTGAAAGGCATTAATCCATTTATGAGGGCTCCACCCTCATGACCTAATTGCCTCTTACAAGGTCCTACCTGTTAATACCGTTCAATGAAGTTTCCAACACCTGGACTTTTGGGAGACACATTCAAACCATAGCACTATCCTATGACTGTTGGCTCTTCTGAACTCCTGTGCAAAGGATATGTATGGATCACATGGAACACACTTTATTCTGTGCTGTGTGTTAGTCATCTCTTCTCTGTCTATATACTTTACCAGCCCAGCTCCTAGAAGACAAAGATTATGTTGTTTATTGGTAGCAATCATAGAATTGGATCCATAAGAAGCATTCAGTTAAGTATCTCTCATTGCATTAAGTTGTCTAGCTGAGTTTTTCTTATATAGCTTTACTGGCTGGTACCTAAAGGGCATATTGTGATAATAATAACCTGTATGACTACCACTCCCATCCCAACTGTCATCATTCCTATATTGCCTTAGAGATTATATAACTGTTTCACATTCATATCCATCCTTTTAAGTAGATGGAGCAAGTCTTAAATTTCTTTCCCTAGCAGATGAAAACACAGAGGTTCAGAGAGGTCAAATGACTGGCCCAGGGTCATACGGCTGACACTTTCTATTTCTCAGCTTCACTGAGTCTAGGAAAATCAGTGATCTCATTCAGACCACAGGTACATGCATGCATGTTAAACAGGCTTTGTGAATGGAGCACTCACACAATGTTACAAAGAATTATGATCAATTGCAGAAAAATAGGCACTGAAACAGTTGCTATTGAAACAGTTGAAGATTGAAGGTTGAAACAGTTAAACCAAGAGGGAGCAACCCATCTGGATGGTTTGGTTGATAGGAGCCAGAGTTGGTTGCACTTGAGGGTCCCTCTGGGTGCAGTTGCAGGCAGCAGGAAGTGGCCCTGAGGAGGGTAGCAAGGACAGAGTTAATGGCCGAGGAAAGATCTTTGTTCCTCCTATAGTTCTCTGCATATACCCTGATATTTCTGGCCTCCATCCCTTTGCTTATGCTGTTCCCTCATCCTGGAATGCCCTTCCTTACTCACCGGAGCTTGAGGCTACATGTCCACTTGTCTCCTAGACATTTCTCTGCATCCGTTCTAGCAGCATGGCATAAACTGAAGTTTTCCTCTTCCAAAACAGGCTGCTGCTTCTACATTTCTATGTTGGATACTGATACCACTATTTGCTTGGCAGAGGGGTAGGAAACCTTGGAAACATGTTCTCTTGTCCTCACCAAATTGTATGCAATCTCCCAGTACAAGAGCGTCCACAGCTATAGTGCTTCTCGCGACCATACTCTCTTCCCTCCTGGCTGCCTCTGCCTGGGCTGTTGCTATAACCAGCTCACTGGTCTCTCATCTCAGCATGCCTTCCTTTGTGCTACCATCTATGGCCTTGTACAGCAAGGCAGACTATGTTGCTCCTCCCCGAGAGCTCCCAGTTTCCTCTGAAATGACACTGAAGGCCTGCTGTGTCCTGGGCCTTCTCGCTCTTCCCCATGCATACCATGCATTTTTATCCATGCATGCCTCTGCACATGCTCGTTCCTCAGTCGGGAATGCTCCTTTTCTCTGAAGCAGAGGCAATAAGTGCTCACCAAATATTCCATGTGCTCTAAGTTAGAACTAAGGGGTCATGAGCAGAAGTGATGTGTGGGCTTCTGGGCCGAAGCCTTGAAGGGCAGGTGTGAGTTCTCCATGTTTTTCTCTCTTCCCCTGCACGGGGGTCTTGAACGCATGTGATGGAGGGAGGAAGCCCAGAGGGCAGCAGCCTGGGCTGCTGAGTCAAGACATCAGGGGCGTCCTGGACATTGCCCAACTTGAATTAGCATTTTCGTAAGAGAAATAAACCCTTGTTGTGCTAAACCTTTGTCATTGCATCATAACCTAATTTATCCCACTAATGCACTCTCATTTTCTGCCAGTTAAAGGCTTCATCTTTTAAGTCTCAGCTTAAATGCTCTCTCTTTAAAAGCCTTCCAGAACCAACCCACCTCCAGGCAGAATCAAAGTCTTTCCTAACTTGTAACATGGTGTGTAACTTGTGTCTATTTGACACTTAGTATTCTGGTTGGTTATGTACACATAGAGTTAGTGACACAGAATGGTTAATTAAGAGCATGAATTCTGGAGCCAGATTGGGTGCACACATCAGCTCTGCCACTTACCAGCAGTGGGACTTTCGATGAGTTACTTTATCTTCCAGGACCCCTGATCGTATTTGCCTCCCAGTATCTAGCAGAGCACCTGATACCATAATTAATTATTAAGTAGTACCTGTTTGCCAGGCTCCTGTTTTGTTTTGTTTTGTTTTGTTTTTTAAGAGATGGGGTCTCAGGGTCTTCCTCTGTTGCTTATCCTGGAATACCAGGAACTGGGGACAAAGACCAAATACTTATTTTTTTTTTTTTAATCATACCACAACAAATGAGACTGGTCTGTAATTTTTCTTTCTTATAATATCCTAGTCCAGTTTTTCTATCAAGATTATGTTGGCCACATAAAAAGAGTTGGGAAGGATACTCTGTTTTTCTATTCTTTGCTACAGTTTGTGCAAGATTGGTGTTACTTCTTTAAATATTTGGAAGAATTAACTGATGAAGCCATCTGGGCTTGGAATTTTCTTTGTGAGAAGTTCTTAAATAATAGGTTCAATTTATTAGATATTGGATATTCAGATTTTCTTTTTCTTCAGTGGGCTTTGGAAAACTGCATTTTTCAAACTGCATTTTGTCCATTTCATCCAAATTGTCAGTTTTTGTTAATATTCTCTTATCTTTTCCATGCCCATAGGATCTGTAGTGACATCCCTTTCTAATACTAAAAATTTGTGGGTTTTGTTTTTGTTGATCAGTATTGTTTGAAGTCAATCAATTTAAACAATATTTTCAAAGAACCAAATTTTGATTTTCTCCATTGTATATTTGTCTTCTATTTTGTTGATTTATAATCTTTATTACTTCCTTCCTTCTATTTTCCTTAGTTAGAATTTGCTATTCTTTTGTTCTTAAGATAGAAGAATAGGCCAGTTGCGGTGATTCACACCTATAACCCTAGAACTCCGGGAGGCCGAGGCTGGAGGATCACTTAAACTCAGGAGTTTGAGACCAGTCTTGGTAAGAGTAAGACCCTGTCTCTACTAAAAATAGAAAAATTAGCCAGGCATCGTGGCACATGCCTATAGTTCCAGCTACTCAGGAGGCTGAGGCAAGAGGATCAAACTTGAGCCCAGGAGTTTGATGTTGCAGTGAGCTACAATGACACTACTGCACTCTACCCAGGGTGACAGAGTGAGACTCTTGTCTGAAAAAAAAAAAAAAAAGATAGAAGAATAAATCATTGATTTTCAGCCTTTCCATTTTGTTAAATATATACATTTTTAAGTTTATAAATTACTCTGTATGCCCTACATTAGCTGCATCTGATAAGTTTTAATAACTTATGTCTTTTTTTGGTCACATTCAGTTCAAAATATTTTGTAATATATGTTTGGATTTCTTCTTTAATCTATGGATTATTTAGAAATATAATTTCTAGATAAGTGGAAATTTATCTTTTTATTATTAATTTCTGACTTAGTTCCATTCTGGTCAATCAATATTCTCTGAATGATTTCAATGTTTTGAAATTTTTTTAAAACAAATTTTCTTTATTGGCCACTACATGATCAATTTTGTTATGTTTCATGTACACTTAAAAAGTAAATTCTATCATTGTGGGTACAGATTTTGATCTAGAACCAAGTCAAATTTGTTAATTGTGCTATTTAGAGCTACATCCTTACTGCTCTTTTATCTTCTTGTTTATAAGCTATTGAAAGGTGTGTATTACAGTCTTCCACTATGATTATGGATTTGTCTCTTTCTTCTTTGAGTTAATTTTTGCATTATATATTATGAAGTTATATTATTCAGTATATACAGATTTATGATTTGATATCTATCTGTTGGATTGACCCATTATGATATGTACCTTTTTATTTGTAGTAATGCTTTTTGCCTTAAAGTCTTATTTGGTACTGATATAGATATACCTGCTTTCCTTTTGTTAGGGCTTAATGTCTCACTCTGTTGCCCAGGCTGGAGTGCAGTGGCATGATCGTAGCTCACTGCAGCCTTGAACTCCTGGGCTTAAGTAATCCTGTCTCAGCCTCTCAAATAGCTGGGACTACAGCTATAGGTGCTCATTACCATGCATGGCTAATTTTTCTTATTTTTTTCTTTAGAGATGATGTCTCACTATGTTTCCCAGGCTGGTCTCAAACTCCTGGCCTCAAATGATCCTCCCACCTTGGCCTCCCAAAGTGCTGGGATTACAGGTGTGAGCTACAGCCATGATTGGCTGTTAGAATTTTATCATCTATGTTTTCCCATCCTTTTACTTTAAATCATCTGTCTTCATGTAAAGTGTCTCTCTTAGAAGGGTTACATATGGTTAGATTTTGTTTTTTCTTACCCAGTATGACAAATTTAGTCTCTTATTTAGATTATTTAAGTCCATTTAAATGTAAATTGTTATGGATAAAGTTGGGTTTATTCTTACTATTTATTTGTTTTCTACTGAATCCATCTGTTTATATTCCTTATTGTCTTCTTTTAGATTAATAAAATATTTTCTATTATTTTATTTTCTATGTCAAACGTGTTAGTCATACATTCTTTTCCTTTAGCTGTTATCCTAGAGATAAAGCCAGATGCAACCTTGACTTATTTCTGTCTAATACAAATTATTATTATATTTTTACCAGTTGCCCAAAACTTCTATAACATTAGGAAAGTTTAGTTTCATTTATTCCCTTCCTCGTTTTGTATTGTTATTATATATTTTTGTTATATCTACACATATATTTATAATAAATTCCATAAGACATTATAACTGTTGGGTTGACACTTAATATTCATTAATAATTACCCATATATTCATCCATTTTGGTTTCTCCATTCTTCCCTGCATTTCCATGTTTCTGACTAGGATCATTCGTTTTTATTCTGCAGACTTACTGTGAGTTCTTCGGGTCTATGTTAAAAATTTCTGCTTGTTGTTTTATGCTATTAGTAGAAAAATCATACTTGGCCCAAATATGGCCTTTGTCCTTTGTCTTATCCACCTTCCTTATTCAAATCATTCTCAAACATAAAATTGGAGAACTCTATAATATCTCTTATGGGGTGAGGACAAAGACCCTAAAAATCATTAATTGAGAATACTGCATGAAGGCGAGGAAGACCAAAGTAGAATAGTATTATGATTAAGATGTCATAGATGTGTACATATTTCTAATTGAAATATGGTATTTACTCAGAAAACACGTGCAGATCAATATGTTTTCACAAACAGAATGTAGTACATATATCTTAAAACACTAATTTCTCTTTAAAGAAGCAGAATCATGGATCTCATGAACACATTACTTACTATTCAAGCAGATGGCTTCCCGAGCAAATGTGTGTGACTTTTCACCAGGTGGTTGTCTTCATCAGACCTCCCCGACTGTCCCATCTGTGACTTGATTTCCTTGTTCTTGTCAAGGTGCTCGCCTCGATTCAGTTTGTCTCTGGGTCTGGCAAAGGAGCCAAGGTCATCAGCCTTCTGGCTTCCTTCTCCCTGCGGGAGGGAGCCATGCTGCATGACCCTCTCTCTGCCTGTCGTTCCCAGCTGAGCTGGAGCCCTGATGTCATTCATGGCTGCTCCAAGAAGTGGCTTGGTCATGGCAGTGCGGCCTCCCTCTGACTGCACCATTTATTAGCTGTGGTTTAGCCTCCTGGGGACTAAAAAGGCTTGTGACAGCGATGACTGGTCCAGCAACAAGAGCTTGAACTGTTTGGGAGGGAAGACTGAACATTAAAATTTTAGCGGTCACCATTCATTAAGCACCAACTGTTGTCAGGTTCTCTGCCTGAGACTTCTTTACACAGTGTTTCATGAATCCTCACAATAATTCTCGGATTATTACTATCCCATTTAAAATGAGGAAATGGAAGCTCAGAGAAGCAACTTGCCTGAGGTCACACAGCTAGTGAATGGCAGAGGGTTTGGATCAGCCTAACTCATGCTCTTTGCTGTAGGTCCAGCATCTTCTCATGTCTCAGCTGCTGACATGCTGTGACTCAGCTGTTACCATTTCCCTGGAAGCCCTGGAAAGGTCACCCAGGCCAGCTGTCACTGGTTTATAGAATCGATGGGGAGACTGCGGCTTGGATCAGGTCAGTGGTTGTCATCCACACCCACGTGCCAGTCATCCCAAACCACCCACACTTCTCCAATGGTATCAGGGTGTCCCCACCTCTCTGCCTTTGCTACCAAGTTTCCCTCTGCTGGAAGCCCCCTTTCTCCTCTTTTCAAGCTGTTAATGATCTATTCAGCATCCAAGTTTCGCCCCAAACGTCATTCCCCTCTAAAGCCTTTCCTGAGCTTCTGCAGCCCAGAGTTCGCCATTTCTGCTGTGCAGAGGAGAGTTACCACTGCAGGCCTGAGACTGCTAACCTTAGAAAGTCTTGCTTCCAAGCTTGGCCCTTGGCTGGTGTTTAGGAACTTGGATTTCAGGAGAGTTCCCATGATTTCCTGATAAGAGTGGCTCACTGTACCCAGACTGTTTGTGCAAACAATGCGGTTTATGTTGAACTCCTTCTGGAGTCTGGAATCTCGGCACATGCCAGGCAGGGGCTGCCTACATGGCCAGCCCCCAACAAAACCACTGGATGCTGAGTTTCTATTAAGCTTCTCTGGTTCTCAACATTTCATACTTGTCATTACGCACTGCTGGAGGAATTAAATGTGTCCTGTGTGATCCCACTGGGAGAAGACTTGGAAGCCTGCTTGCAACTGGTGGTTTCTAGACTTTGCCCCATGTGACATTTCCTGTTCCTAATTTGGCTTTGTATCCTTTCACTGCAATAAATCACAGCCATGAGGATGACTGTATGCTGAGTCCTGTGAGTCCTCCAAGCAAATCACTGAACCTGGGGAGTCTTGGGTGGTCTTGGGAATCCCCAACACACCTGCCGTATGCCTGAATATAGATTTCTGTCAATGCTCTGGTTTATGTGTCCCTCACTCCCGCTGTCACAAAGGTAGGGTCTGCATCTTCCATGTCACTCCTGAGGTGGCATGAGATTCAGTTCTGTCTCCCACCAGAGGATTTTCCCAGGTGGGTCACCTAAACATTTAAGTTCACAAGTCCCCCATAAGCCACATGTGTCATCCAATGCCTCAGAAAGATGTAGAACAGGAAGTGCAGATGCCCAGCGCGGCTGACTTCAGGGTTCCTTTTCTAGGGGAAAAGGAACTTTTGCAGTAGTCCAGAAAACTATCTTTTCTCCAGGTGACTGCTCAGATACAAGGAGACGAGATCCAAATCAGGTGGATGTGAAAACCAGCCTGCCTGAGAGGTCTCATTCCCCACAGGAGCCACTTTGTCTTGTAACAGCTGTATGGGCATGGCTTCTGGGGCCCCTGCAGTTGTGAGTCACCACTGTCAGGAAAGCCCAAAGCTGTGGCTTCCTATCAGGGATTATAGTTCTCCCAACCAGATGCAGTGGACCAATCAGGGGTCACTTTTCCCTTAAGTATTATAGTATATCTGGCAAGAAAATTGACATGCTACCTTAATAGGTCACCAAGGAAACAGAGAGAGAGAGTTACGGTGGCCAGCCTCCAAGACCATCCCCCAGTGATCCCTGCAACCCGTGTTCATGCCGTCTCACATTACAGCCTGTGCAATCACACTGGGGAAATGATGGTGTATGACTTCTGAGGTGAGGTCATAAAAGATATTATGGCTCTTGCCTTACTCTCTTGAATCGGTTGTTCCAGGGGAAGTCAGCTGCCGTGCTGTGAGGACGCTCCAGCAATCCTATGCAGAGGCCCACGTGGTGACCCAGAACCACCCAGCTAAGATGCTACCAAATTCATGACCCATAGAAACAGTGAGATGATAAGTGTGGTTGCATTAAGCTACTAAGTGTTGTGGAAATCTGTTACTCAGCAGTAGACAACTAATATGAGAGTTGGCTGAGGGTCACATTCTCACTCGTAGTGGGTTAACCCTTTGCTCACTGTGGTTTACTTAGCAAATTTTTGATGAATAAAGAGTGAAAATGAGCACAAAAGTAGCC